ACCAGGTTTGTACATACATTAGGAGTTCTGTATAAGTCATGAGTTATGAGAACCCGCTACAGTATTACATAACTCTGGAGTTATGTCTTTCTTGGAGCTTCAATTATACATAACTCGGGCTTTTCTTGTCATCGAGTGAGATGTACCTCTTCAGTAATGTATCACTAGAGCCAAAATTTTACATTACTCTGGAGTTATGTACTACTTGGGGCTTGTGCATAATTCTGGAGTCTTGTATGACCCAGTGCCATGGTTATACATACTTCAGGAGTTCTGTATTAGTCAGGAGCTATACCTAACTCTGAAGTTAAGTATCACTCAGAGCCAGAATTATACATATCTCCCGACTTGTGTATAATTCGGGAGTCATACATATTCTGGAGTTATGTATTGTTCAGAGCCCGGAATTGCACATCATTCTTGATTAATTTCGGAGCAGGAGTTATGAAGACTTTGACGAACTATAGATAATTCCCGGGCGGGGTGGGGGACGGGACGGTGTGGGATAATTGCTTCTCGATATCCCCACACTTCCGAGTTATCGGATAATTCCTGAAGTAAGCATATTGCATGTTTTTTTTTCTCATTCGGAACCGGAGTCGCACATGTTTTCTGGAGTTATGTACCCTTCCTGAGTTATGAGAAACCGCTACAGGTATACTTTATACTGGAATTATGTATTACTTGGAGCCGTGGTTGTACATGACTCTGGAATTATTCATCATCGGAAGTTTGTATAAGTCCGGAAAATATTATTAAAAGCCAGAGTTCTACATATTATTTGGTTATGGATGTATTTCGCAAGTGGTGCATAATTGTGGAGTTTTGTATTATTCGAGAGCCATGGTTATACATTCATGACCGTTGTACTATTCGGGAGATATACCTAGCTCTGGGGTTATGTATCTCTCCGAGCCTCAGTATTACATAACTCTTGAGTTATGTATTACTCGGGATATCTACGTACTTCTGGAGTTATGTATTATGCAGAGCCGGAGTTATATGTAGTTCTTGATTTAGTTCTAATTGTTAACAGAGGTTTTACACATACACACATATATATGTATAAGTATAACTCTTGATTTGTAGATATATCCCGGGCGGGACAGGAGACGGGACGGGGTGGGAGAATGGCTTCTCGAATTCCCGTTTGTCCCGAGTTATTCGTGAGTTTTGTATGACGCATGACATGTTTAGCGCTCAGGACTGGAGTTACCCATAACTCAGGAGGTATGTACAGCTCATGAGTTATGACTTAACCGCTACAGCTATACTTAACGTTGGGGCCATGTATGGTTCAGAGCTTTATTTTTACATAACTCGGGAGTAATATATCATCGAGAGTTGTATATAATTCTGGAGTGCTGAATTAGTAACAGCCAGATATGTACATAATTTTTGAGTTATGTATTACTCGCAAGTTAGACTCGCTTCTGCAGCAATGTAATTATTCGAGGGCCATGGTTACACATAACTCAAGATTTATGTGTTATTCGGGGGGGTCTCATAACTCCTGAGTCATGTATGATTTAGGGCCGGGATGATACATATTTCGGGAGTTATTTGTATCTTGGGGTTTATACATATTTCTGGAGTTATGTATTACTCAGAGCCGGAGTTTCACTTATTTTTTGAATCTCGTATATCTTGGAGCAGGAATGATATGTAATTCGCAAGTTATACATGGCTCCCGGGTGGGGTGGGGGACGGGACGGGGTGGAGGAGCGGCCAATCGAGCTCCCTTCCCTCCCGAATTATCCGATTTTTTCTGAAGCATGTGCAACTCAAAAGTTGTGTATTACTTGAGACCAGACTTTATTTTATTCAGGAGTCATGTATAACTCATGAGGTATGAGAAACCGCTGCCGTCATACGCTAATCTGGAGTTCAGTATTATTCGGAGCCGTAGTTATACATAACTCGGGAGTTATGAATCATCGAGAGTGGTATCTAATTCCGGAGTAATGCAACGCTAAGAACCAAAGTTACACATAGCTCCTGAGTTATGTATACTCGCAAACGTAAATCTGGAGTTACGTACTACTCGAGAGCCATGATCATGCATAATTCAACAGTTATCAATTAGTCTGAAGTTATACCGATCTCCAGGGAGTTATGTATTACTCATAGCGGGAGTATGTACATAGTTCATGTGTTCTGTATCACCCAGGGGTTGAACATAACCCTGGAATTATTATTCAGAACCCGAGTTGTACATACCTGTTGAGTTATGTATTCCGATGAGTAAGCGTTATCTTGAATCACGAATTATGGACAGCTCCCAGGCGGGGGGGGGGGACGGGACGGGATGGGAGAACGGCCCTTCGATCTCTTCACTTTCCCGACTTACCTGATAGGTCTTGAGTTCTGTATAATTCTTGAATTATGTATTACTTGTCACTGCAGTTATACATAAATCGGGAGTTGTGTGTATTTCTTGACTTATGAGAAGCCGCCACATGTCTACTTAACTCTGGAGTCATGTTTTTTTTGGGGGGGGGGGAGCCGTAGTTATACATACCTTTGGAGTTATGTATCTTCCAGGGGTGTGTGTAATTCCATAGTAATGTATTACTAATGACCAGAATTGTTCGTACCTCCCGAGTTGTGTATGTCCCGAAAGCCATGGTTACACATATCTCAAGAGTTATGCATTACTTTGGAGTTATACATAAGTCGGGATCTATGTATTATTCAGGGCCGGGGTCTATACATACCTTTAGAGATTGTATTGTTCGGGAGTTGTATGTATTACTCAGAGCCGGAGTTGCACACAACTCTTAGGTTATGCAGAATTCGAAGCAGGAGTTATGTATAATTCACAAACCCCGGGCGGGGTGAGGGACGGGACGGGGTGGGAGAGCGGCCTCTCGATTTCCCCGCCGTCCCGAGTTATCTGATAATTCCAGAAGTATGTATCAGTCATGAGTTATGAGCAGCCGCCGTAGTTATGTTCAGTATTGGAGTTATGTATCACGTGGATCCGTAGTCTTACAGCCATCTGGAGTTATGTATCATCGGGAGTTGTAGATAAATCTTGAGTAACCTACTGCTAAGTGCCAGAGTTATACATTGCGTTATGAAGTACTCGGGAGTGTACATAACTCTGGAGTTCTGTATTACTCGGACGCATGGTTCAACGTAGCACAGGAATTCTGTATTAATCGGGGGTCATACGCAACTCTGGAGTCATGCTTTATTCAGAGCCAGAGTTATACATAACTCTTGAGTTATGTATTACTCGGGATATCTACGCACTTCTGGAATATGTATTATTCAGAGCTTGAGTGATAGATAACTCTTGAGATATGTATTATCCGGATCAGGAGTTATGGATATTTCATTTGCTATCGATAACTCCCGGGCGGGGTGGGGGACGGGACGGGATGGAAGAGCGGCTTCCCGAGCTTCCCCCCCCCCAGAGTTATCATATATTCTGGACTAGTGTACAGCTCATGGCTTATGTACTATTCGGAACCAGAGTTGTACATCTTTCAGGAGTTATTTATAAGTTTTGAGTTGTGAGAAACCGCTACTGGTATACATAACTCTAGAGTTAGACTTTTCTCTGAACCGTAGTGATACATAATTCTGAAGGTACGATTCATCGAACAGCTGTGTCTTACTCTTGAGTAATGTGTTACTAAGAACCACAGATAGACATAACTCTTGAGTTATTGAGAACTTCGGGAGTTCTATATTTTTCATGGAGATATGTAGTACTCGGACACATGGTTACACCCAACTCAATATATATAAATATGTAAATATATCTCGGGAGTTTTACATAACCCTGGATATACGTATTACTCCGAGCCGGGATTATACATAACTCTTCAGGTTACAGAATTTTGGAGTTGTGTATTGCTCAGGGCTGGAGAGATACATAGCTCATGAGTTCTGCAGAACTCGGAGCAGGAGTTATGTGTAATTTGCGAGTTATAGATAGGTCCCCGGCGGGGTGCGGGACGGAAAGGGGTGGGAGAGCGGCCTCTCGAGCTCCCCGCCCTCCCGAGTTATCCGGTAATTCCCGAGTTATAGCTCATGAGTTATGTACGACTTGAGACCCTACTTTTACATAACCCAGGAGTTATGTAACATTCATGAGTTTTTTTTGCGAAGCGCTACAGTTATGCATACTTCTGGAGTTATGTAGCATCGAGAGTTTTGTAGAACTCATGAATAACGTATTGCGAATACCTAGACTTATACATACATCCAGAGTTGTTTATATATCAGGAGATTACATAATTCGGGAACTATGTATTACTCGAACCATGGTTACACATAACTCAGGAGTTATGTGTTACTCGGGAGTTATACATAGCTCAAGGACCATTTGCTCAGAACCATAATTCTACCGAATCCCGATTTCTGCATTATTTTCGGCATTTATGCATTTTTCTGGAGTCATGTATTCATCAGAGCCAGGGTGATATGTAATTCTTGAGTTCGGCATAATTCGGAGCAGGAGTTATTCATCACTTACGAGTTCTAGGTAATTCCCGGGCGGGGTGGGGGACGGGACGGGGTGGGAGAGCGGTTCCTCGAGCTCCCCGCCTTCCCGACTTATCTGGTAATTCTTGAGTTATGTACTACAACTCATGAGTTATGTATCATTCGAGACCAGACTTATGCATAACTCTGGAGTTATTCATAATTCACGAGTCCTGTCCCCTCCTCTTTCTCCCCCAGCTTCTCGTGTGCCCCTACTTCCCTTCTCATCTGCTCCTCTTTCCGTTGCTGCTGCTCGTCCTCGATTATCCTGGTGGGCGTCGCGGCCGTCACTGTCCCCGTCCTCGTTGTGGCCGTCGTTATCGCCGTCGCCGCCGTCGTCGTCGTCGTCGTCGTCGTCGTCGTCGTCGTCGTCGTCGTCGTCGTATGCGTCGTCGGTGTCCTTACTGCTTCCACCCCTCCCCCGGCACGGTCTGCGCCCAGAGCCTCGGCCAGAGGAAGAGCTCGCGGAGCTTGCGCGAGCGCGCGCCTGCACGCGCGGCGAGGCGACGAAGCTGGACGAGGCCGGGGGCCTGGCAGAGCTGCCGCCAGCCCTCGCTTGAGTGTCGGGGTGCCAGGGACGGTCTCCAGAGTCGCCACGGGCCCAAGGAGTTCGGGGGGAAGGGGAAGTCGTGGGCTCCGCAAGGCAATCCCCCAGGGGAGGCCGCGTGTAAGGCTCCAGGGAGGGCGACAGCGGCTCCAGCGAAGCGCCAGGGCATCCGGGAGCCAGCAGGGGCCCCGAGGATCTTCGCTTTTCTCGGCCCCTCGGGGCCCCTCCCAGGTCTTGGGGCGGTCAGAGAACGACTCGGTGGATGGAAAGCCAGTTCGGGGGGGATCTCAAGGGTTTTCAGGATCCGTTTCCCTCAGGACCACTCGGGCTCATGGCAATTTTCTGAAGCTGTTCTTCGGAGGGAGGAGAAGCGACGCCACCACCAGTGGGGCCACCCCAGGCGAGGAGATTAGATTGCCTCCAGCGGGGCGCCGAAACATAGCGACGTCACACCACCGCGAGGGCCTTCCCTGTTCCCTGCTACGGTGGTGCTTGTGCCGATTCTCGTTGCTCCCCTGCCTCCTCCTCCCTGGCAAGGTGGGCCGGGTGGACGGATCGGGGGCTCGGAGGCTTGAGTTATCCCAAGGTGGGGTTATAGGAGGGAGTGAACCCAGCCGGATGCTCACATCTATTTCTTCCAGGAGTTGTTTGGAGCGCCTTTCTTCCCAGCCCCCACCTCTGCCCCTACAACCCCACCTTTGCGTCCCCCCCCGAGTGGAGGGCGCGTGGTCCGCTCTGAGCGTGGTCCTGCGAGAGCCCCCCCCGCCCCCCCTGCTCTCCGGCGGCGGGCAGCGCATCGCTGGCGCTCGAGAGGAAAAAGGCGCGCTTGAGGAGGGGTGGGGGGGGAGGGAGCCCAGAGATCCAACGTATTGAAACAATCAAGACGGAGGTTTTTCTTGGTTTTCGGCCTCTAGTGCCCTCGCCGGGCTCCAGGACCGTCAAATCAGAGGCGACGACAGGGGCGAATAGCCTATGGGGAAGCAATACATGTATTCAGGTGCGCCGATGATCTATGTCTTCGAGAAGGCTCCCGGGCGAATACGTGTAATGCCCGCCCCTTGGCTATTCGCCCCTATCGTCGCCGCCGATCAAAAAACGACTCAGGATGAAAAACCGGTCCCCGGAAAGGGGTCGAGACTTCCGGGGATCCCGTATTGAAAAAAACACGTCATCGGATCTATGGAGGGATATTGGATTGCGAGCGTGATGAACCAGGATGGCTGTCACGAATGGCCGGCGCTGCAGCAAGCAGATGGCTCTAAAGCACAGGCAGGCAAGCTGGCTGAACGACAAAGCTGATACACCTGCACGGGCACCAAGAGCGCAAGTTCAGTACAGTACGATTGGACCCCCGCGACAGAGCGGACGGAGCGCGTCGGACCGAAGCAAGGGGAGGGAGGGAGGGAGGGAGGGAGGGCGAGGGAGGGAGGGGGACATTTTGGCAGAGCGCAACAGCAAGACACCTCTGAGGCGGGTCGAACAGAAACTGGCATGCGGCAGACAGCACATTTGAAACTAGCTGGGCTGTGGCCTCCAGCTCTATCAACTATTCTGCGACCTGCTTCGGATGAGGGCCTTCAACTGCTTGGGAGAGATGGCATCCAGACCCTCGATGGCCACAGGGCAACCAGCTGGTAACTCCACTAGACTCTGGGTAACCACCCCTTGTGCCACAGCCCATGCGTGAAGTGCAACTGCTTGCCCATACTAAAAAACCTGGGTGAGCAACTCATCGACAGGGAGCTCAGGCCACAGGACGGACACCCCCCTGAGGCACGGGACAAGCGGTAAGGTGTGAGCAATTCTTCACTCTTCCTGTATTCTCACCGGTCACCGGCCCATTCAGAATCCCTACCTATGAGAGCTGACGGGAAAATGGACGAAGAGACACGTACATTGAAGTAAAGCGGACAACCAGGGTGAACACAGAGATCTCTGATAGCAAGGGAGCGGCCTTGGATAGCCTCTTCAGGCCATCCCGGGGGCCCGCGTGTGGGCGATGGAAGGACGAGGAGGAGGAGGAGGAAGAGGAGGCGGAGGAGGAGGAGGGGGAGGAGGAGGAGGAGGAGGAGGAGGAGGAGGAGGAGGAAGAGGAGGAGGAGGAGGAGGAGGAAGACGACGACGACCACGACGACGAGGAAGAGGAGGAGCAGGAACAGGCAGATGAGGGCAAGGATGATGACGAGGAAGAGGAGGAGGAGGAGGAGGAGGAGGAGGTGGAGGAGGATGACAACGGGGACGAGGACAGAGCCCTCAAAGTGGCGTCGTGGAGCCCTCTTGGGGCTCTTTTGGGGGATCTTGGATTCCTCTTGGGGCGCTTTTTTTGGAGGGTCTTGGAGCTCTCTTTGGCTCTCTTGGGGCCCTCTCGGGGGTCCCTTGGGAGCCCCGGAGGGCCTCTTAGGGCCATCTTGGACGCCATCGACCAAAAGGGGATGTCCTTAATCTAGCCCCCCTCCACCCCCACGAGGCCTCGAAATCGCCTCTTGCGCCTCTTGGGGCGGTCTTGGGCGCTCTTGGGGCCGTCTTGGGGGCCTCTTTCGAACCCCTCTTGAGGCTCTCTTGGGCCATCTTGGGGCCATAATGTATAAATCATTGAGTTTCCCTGGATCGTTGAAGGATTTTGGCCTATTGGGTGGGTCCTTAGGGAGCTCTGAGAGCACTTGGAGCCGTCTTGTGGCCCTCGAGTGCCTCCTGGAGGTATGTCAGAAGCTATCGTGAAACATCTTCGGCTATCTTGAGCCGCCTTGGAGTCCATCTTGGAGCCATCTTGGGCGAAAACGGAACCCCTGACACATCGCGAACCCTCCAACAAATCTAAAGGAGGGGAAGGGGAGGGTACCCCTCCCCGAAGGGAAGATGGTTGTTGGAAGAGGAAAGCAAGACTTCGTTAGACCACCTTACCCCAAAGGCCTGGTGGGATTTGGTGTAAGCTATTTGGTGTAAGATAATGGGTTTAAGCTCAGCGCACGGGGCGCCCGCGAGCGCCCACGAGGCGACGCAGGCGGCAATTTGGCGCGACTTCGGCGGACCCACCCAGCGCACAGGGTGCCGACGCGCTTCCACGAGGCGGCACGGGAGGTGATGCGGCGCAACCTCGGCGGACCCATCCAGTGCACGGCGCGCCGACGAGCGCCCATCGGGCGGTTCGGGCGGCAACGTGGTGCAACCTCGGCGGACCCACCCAGCGCCCGGCGCGCCCACGAAAGCTCACGGATTTCGGTTCGTGTTCCTTCTTTTGCCGCGTACGTGCATCTACTGGCCAACTTCTACGACGGACAGACAGCCACAGTCTGGACTGACAGGATGAGCAGGCAGCTGCGTATACACAGGGGGGCGAAACAGGGCGATCCCTTGAGTTCACTACTGTTCAAATGTATATCAGAAAATATAATGCGCAACCTCAGGCGACAGTGGACATCGAGACGGATTGGCCTCCAGCTACAGCAAGGGCATGAGCGACTTACCAACTTCTGTTTTGCGGACAACATAATTCTGATGGCTGGGTCGCTGCAACACATTACTGGTATGTGGGATCATCATATCATAGAGGCTTCAAAGGCCGGGCTCGATTGACATCCAGAACAATCAAAAAGTCTACACAATGGAGGCCACAATTTTCGCAAAGAGAGGGCGCCCAGCAGCGTTATGGCCAACGGAATGACGATCGAGGTGTTGCTTCCGTACAAAGCCACGAAATCTATGGGAAAACAGTTGCAATTCAGTTAATCTCACGTCGCAGAGCTGGAGAAACGCATGTCGACGGCATTGATGAGATTCTTTGCATTACGGCAGGAGTTGACAGGGAAACATTATTTAATCATCCAGCGAGTCCGACTGTTTCAGGGGACGATATATTCAAGTGTGCTGTATGGTTGTGAAGCGTGGACAATGACAGTGGACAGAACCGACCCAGAAAAAACGCAACGCCAAATGTTGCGAATATGGTGCGCACGCCCAGGCGACGTGATCAACAGTTCGACCAAGGTTTTGGATTCTGTGGCAGCGACGTTTCGGAGCCATGGGTCGATTACATCTGGCGGTCTACATGGAGAGTGGAAAAAAACGCTGGAGCGACTGCAAATCGACAGTTGTATTCCCATGCGACGACAGAGAAATGGCAATGGGCCAAAAAAATTTGCAGCTCGGGAACACACGAACGGACACTACAAACTTTACAAAGGGACCCACAACGTGATCCCACGTGTGGTGCGCGTCGGAAGCCGGACCGCCCGAAGCGGCGGTGGTGTCACGATATCCGACAACGTGCCGGGCCATCTTGGATGTCCATTGCCAAGGCTGGCGTGCGGAATATTCCCGAGCCAACGTGTGTAGGCAGGTCTGCTCCCTCTCTTGCTTTTTAGTTGTGCCTTGTCATGTTTGTATATGTACCTCATTCATTTGTATGTTGTCCTCCCAGCTTCGCACATGTCTCACATGCCTGGCGCTACGGCGCCCACCTGCGACGCCCTGGCCGGCGACAGCGGCAGGTCCGAGTTCCGAGAGTTTCCAGTTCCCTCTTTTCGGCCCCTTTTGGGGCAGTCTCGGGGCCCTTTTAGGCCGTCTTGGGCGCCTCTTGGGCTTTTTCGTGGTGCTTTTAGGCCGTCTTAGGGCCCTCTCGGAGGCCCTCGGCCGTTTTGGGGTGGTCTTGGGGGCCTGTTGGGCCGTCCTGGAGCGTCGGAATTCGAACAGGCGAGAACGCCCAAATCTTTCAAACCTGGGGACAATCAGTGGTTGCCTCTTGAAGGTCTCTTGGGAGGCCTTTCGCAGGCCAATCGGGGGCATCTTGTGTGCCTCTTGGGCCATCTTGAGGCCATCTTGGGCGTCTCGGAGCGACCTTTCGGCGACTCGTGGCCTCTTGGACTGTCTTGGGGGCCTCGTGGGGCTCTCTTGCCCCGTCTTGGGGCCCACTTGGGCGCGAGCAAGTCACGCGTCACGACGCGGGAAGCCCTGGAAGATTTAGCAATTTTGGCTTTGGGCCCTCAACAGATTCCTCAGGACTGAGGACTGAGGCTC